CTTCGGTATAAACTTTTATTAATAAATTTGGATTTAATCGGCTGTAATTCGGCAGCCGAATAACCCAATTTGGACTAATGTGATATAACTTGTAATTCATTAATTAAATTATTATTATGATTGTCTTGTAATTTATTATTATTATGTTCATCCATATTTCGTTCATTCATTTGGAATAGAGTAAAAGAATATCTATTATTTTTATTCTTTTTGTTACTTATCATTTTTATTTATTTATTGTAGAATAAATATAGTACACAATTTAATTAATTTAAATAAGTTATTTTCGCTTATTTATTATAGAGTATAGAGTAGTATGATTTAACTGTCCTGTTATCTTTGCTTATCAATCAAATTTTATTCGATAGATCAAATATTTCGGTTTATTCGATTTATTCAATTAAATAAACGGATCTAACCTCTAATTTGAAGTCATGCGTTACATATCAATAACATTAACATTACAAGGCAATATGAATGATATTAGCGACTCCTTAAAAAGATAATTAGAAATTTTATCTGATCATAAGAATCTTAAAGCGGAAGTAAAAAATAAGGCACCGAGCTTCTTGAAGGCCTACAAGAAACTCTCACAAAACGAAGAAAGTCAAGATATAAAATATGCTGAGGTTTCTCTCATGTGACTTTACAACTAAATATTGATTTTTAGTATATTGTCATAAAAACAATATAAACCAAATGTTGAATTAGGTGTCGTTACTGGTAAACTTCCGTATAGGAAAGACTACAGAAAAATTTGCAAGAGTAGGTATTAATTGATAATAAATTCCTGGAAAATAGACAAATCGAATAATTTTATTGAGATATCTTGATATACTCCAGTCTTTGTGAAATTAGGGCTCTGAAAATCAAGATTCTGGTATAAAACATCAACTATTATTAATAATCAACATAAAGAAACTGGACAGGAAAAAAGTGGACAGGAAGAAATAAACGGGAAGGATAGGTTCGTAAAATTCGTCTCTGGTAATATTTTCTGTCGGCTTTTAAAAAAAATACTGTAATATTTTCTATATACGACGTGTTAAGAATATTCTAGAAGACTTGATTCGAGTATCACCTGTCGTAAAGAAAATTACAAAAACATTTTTCCTAAGACATCTATTATGGATCTACACCTTCAAAAAGGTCTTAAGAAATCGATAGCTACAGTATACTGTATTGCCGATGACATTCACGAAAATCTTATTGTATGATGTTAGGACACAGTAGATTACATACATGATTTTGATGCACGTGATTCGGCACTTTTAAATAATATCGGAAAATTAATTCAAGAACATTAGAATTTATGCATTGATTTTAGTAATATTGGTATAATTTATTAATGATTTTTAATGCATCCTAGTTGAAAACCCTTTTCATTGGGAGGGGGGGGGAATCCATCGAAAAATATTACGTTTTTCGAAAAAAACACACATTTACCAATCCGTACACCCCATAATTCACTCAACACTATGGATATTCGCCAAAATTAATTACATATAGTAAGTAACTTAAACCAATATTTTCTATATAGAATATAGAAATAAAAAATATATTTATATTATATAGTAATGAAATACCTCTTGAAGACATTGGGTTTAAAATACGAGTAGATGGAGTAGGATTTCTAAAAAATGTTATGAACTACTCGATAGTTTGTGGTGAAGGAGCCAGACCGGATGCTCTGCAAAAAAAAAAAAAGTATTGATAATGACATCATGAATGCTAGCAGCATGGCTGCATTATTGTCATAGAAGAAGCCGATGCACGTTGACAACTCTTTGCTGAGTTATGTGTATATGGTATGACTGCATTCAAGACTGAATTATCACTTACCATGATGTATTTCAGAAGTATGCATAATTTAAACTTGTATTAAATGTTTTATACAACATGAAAAATCAACATATTCAATTTTAGGCGTACATCGTTTATTCGAGGTTGATTGTTCCAGCCTATCTAAAGACTAGGATGAGGTGTCGGTTATATGAAGTAGCAGTCATATGGCCGTAATTATTCAATATTTATTTGTATATTTTATTACTTGTATTAAATTATTAATCGTAATTTGTAAATATGCGCAAACTCCACATGAAATAAATAATTGAACACAGAAAAGAAAAGAAGGGAAAACCGATATTTTTAATGAGTGTAACCAAAAAAAATAATATACGGATATATTTTTTATCTAAGAAATTCGTTGAAAATAGTTATTATATCAATGTGAACAAAGTCTTTGGACTTGATTCAGGAAGTGTAAAATAAATTTTTTAAGATATTAAAAAAAAAAAAACGAATTCTTTATTTTAAAGTTAAAGAAAATCATGAAACTAGGTAAAAACATTTTTTAATATTTTTTTATCATAAAATAATAACGAAGTTGTTAAACTATATTATTTTTATTACATTATAACTTATTTGTAATATTTTAAAAACATATCTTAAAATTTATACTGTATGTAATGCGAATTAATTTATTAAATTATATATGAAATTAAAATTGTTACTGTTATAATATCTCGTAGATATTTCTATTTATAATTTAATAAATAGTACTATATATAGTGTCAGAGGATAACATGCGACGCGAATCCCGTCACGTGACCGATCATTGCGAAAAAAAACCGCCAGAGATCCGTTCGGACCTGCAGAACGCGATAGTATTGTGATAAAAAATTATTCTCATTATGGGGAATTACGTAATTGGGAGAGTATTGTCATTAATCAGGATCAAATATGATGTAATAGGAGAAAATTGTGAAAGAATTTTAGTAATCGTATTCACCATACTTTTAATTGTAATAGTCACTCTAACTCATGTACCCTTGAAATTGAATCCAATATGAATAAATAAATAAAGTTAGTCTTTACTATGCATATCGTATCCCATATAGGTTCAAGTCTCAAAGTCAGGCCAAAGCCTGACCCTCTGTCAAAGATTTGAGCAAGATATTTCTGGCACCGTTCGTGTCCCTATCCATCTCCACTTCGCACGAATCACATTTGAACGTTTTT